AACAAAGGCAACGGGTACTGTTTTGAGGAGAGAGGATGTCAGAGGTAGGGGGGAGCAGAGGAGTGGAGGGACTTGAATGCAAGGGTGAGGATCTTGAAGTCAATCCTCTCTGGGACAGGCAGCCAGTGCAGTCTGGCGAGGACTGGGGTGATCGGGGAGCGGAGTTTGGTGCGGGTGAGAATGCGGGCGGTAGGGTTTTGAATATCTGGATTTTATGGATGGTAGTGGATGGGAGACCGCCGGAGACCGGCGAGGAGGGCGTTAGAGTAGTCCAACCGAGAGATGACAAAGGCATGGACCAGGGTTTCAGCGGCTTTTGGACAGAGGTATTGGCGGAGACGGGTGATGTGTCGGAGGTGGAAGAAAGCGGTGCTGATGAGGGACCAGATGTGGGGGAGGAAGGATAATTTTGGGTCGAACCTGATGCCTAGGTTGTGTATGGGTTCGGAGAGTTTTAGGGGGAGGTCAGGTAGATGGAGGAGGTGAGGGCCGTGAGATTTTAGACGTTGACGAGAGCCAAAGAGTATGGCTTCCGTCTTGTCAACATTCAGCTGAAGGAAATTTGCGCTCATCCAGCCCCTGAGGTCTGACATGCAGGCTGACAGTACATCAGGGGACTGGGGGTCGCAAAGAGAGGTGGAAAAATAGAGTTGGGTGTCGTCCGAATACATGTGGAAATGTACCCCATGTCTGTGGATGACATCCCCAAGAGGGAGCATGTGGATCAGTAAGAGGAGGGGGCCGAGGATGGATCCTTGGGGTACCCCACAGGTGACTGTGTGAGAGCGGGAGCAGAAGTCGTTTGTGCAGATGTACTGCTGGCGGTTTGTGAGGTAGGACTCGAACCAGGCGAGTGCGGTCCCACTGAGTTGGATGACGGAGGGAAGGCGGTGGAGGAGGATGGCGCGATCGACTGTGTCGAACACGGCAGAGAGGTCCAGGAGGACAAGGAGGCAACTTTCACAAGCACAGTCTCTATACTGTGGGCAGGGTAGACGCCGGACTGGAGGGGTTTTCGCCTAATAATTGTTTTTCACACAATTCTTTGATTGCAATGTCGAGAATATAAAGGTCTCTGACTTCTCCACAGTTTGCAACCGTTGTTTTGTTCCCTTGGTTGCCTTCTGATGTGAAAGACGCAGTTGCGCAAGAACCATATGTTAAGATGGATGATGTGATAGTGACTTTTTAGTCACAGTGAAGCCTTTTGGATATTAGGAAGCTCGGAATTTACTTCAGTATTAAGTGCTTTTAATGTTTGGTGCCAAAAAGCAGTGCCTGAACAATTTATATTGCAAGGTATTGCCTCCTCTACAAATAAACATAATTACTTTACGCTTCATGATTTTAACAATAACAATCCTTATCGTTGATATGGCGCCTTATCACGTTGCTGAGAAATCTCAAAGCGCTTCACAGAATATACTATAAAGTGAATTAATTGTATACTTTGTGGGCGAAATGCAGCAACAAATTTTCTGATCATACTTGTTCAGAAACATTTGTGGAAAATGTAAGGAGATGCAAATGTCTGAGCAATTTAAACATCAAAGCCATTCGGAAAAAATAAATTGCCTCTGTAACAGGCATACGTTCCATGTCTCAATTTTGACATTCATTGAACATTTAAACTAAAATAAACGGAACGAAAATCAAACCAGATTGTACTAGACTTGAGTAGGCTAATGAACATTCATCGGACTGTTATATCCTGAAAGTGACAATTTGCTTATTCAGCAGTAAATCCACTTGTCTGAAATCCTGAGTAGTTAGAGCAGGTCAGGCTTAGGGAGATGGCCTCAGTCTGTGGGAGATCAGCGCTCTCGAGCAAACACGAGCAGAGCTGTCAGAAGGGATTTGTGCCACAAGCTTAGGGTGCAAAACAATTAACCAAAGCATTTCACTGGGCGAGCTGCCTTTTCCTCATCATAGTTATACCAGGTGTAACAAAATTGTGTATTAATTGTATATTGTTTACGGTGGTGCACAAGCAATAAGTAAGGGTGCTCAGGTTAACTGGCCTTAAAAACCATGGTGTACAGTACTTACTTGAGATCTGAGCGTTTAGCAATGGAGTGTAAAGTGATCAGACCAAGGGATAGCTGAATGCATTCCTGTGTTAATAGGTACTGTACTGCCACGGTGAACTTCTCTGGAGGCTTTGTACCTGCTACCTACCGCACCTGCGTCTGTACTGAAATATAATCTGTCTCAGTTACAATAAGGACACCAGCAATGTTGGAGCATAAGTGCCACCGAATCATTCCTGATGACTGGGTTTAAAGTGTAACAAAACAAAGCATTATTTGAAAATGCATGGAGATACAGTGGTCACGTTGTCTGTTTTGGTCGACTTTGAAAGGAAAAAAGTTATTGTAAAAAGAAGTTTCACTGTGTTAATTGACTGGAACTATAAAGTGCTGTCACATTATTTTAAGAACCATTCGGAGCAAGTTGGAGGCTGCCTGAATCTCTTTCCTTTCAGCAATGGAGGATTTAACGTGTTTTTTTGAACATATAAATTCCCCTCATGATTAAATACCTCTGTTTCCTGTTTACTTGAACGGCAGAGTTGCAGATTCAGTTGCACCCAAAACGCTTCTCTCCCTCCCCCCCACACCGTCACCCAAGTCCCAGGACATTCAATAAAACTCTTCCAGGTGAAGGTATTTGAGGAGTATACCATCTCGGTTTCAATGTCATTGCTACTATTTGTAGCTCTCGTCAGTGAGTCATTTATTTGTTTACCAGACTGACTGAGCGTGAGAGGATGAACAGATTATAAATTGTGCAACTTACTTTAATATGAGTGCATTTCATGTCTTACATCTTTTGCTCTCCCCACCCGCACATTATTGGCGTTCATTCTCTCAACGCAGCAAAGGAGGAATTCATTCCAAACCACCGCTTCCACATTTCCCAGAAATAAATGTCTTGTAAATTATTTATTTGCAGCACTTCAACAACAAATGGTATTCTGTCTTCCAGCACTCGTCGTGTCCTCATTACCAACGTTTTCATGTTCTCATTCAGGGACTTGGTGGTAAGCCAGGAGGTGAATTAAAGGGGAAAGAATTTAAATGTGGAGTCCTGTAGCTCAGTGGTTAGAGCACTCGCTTTGCAAGCGAGAGACCTGAGTTCAATCCCAGGCAGAGGGCGAAACCTTGGGCAAGTTTCCTTACTCCACACAGAGCCTAATAATAATCCCTCCAAAACTAAAAACAATAATAAATTGGTCATTTTCAATCTATGACTGTTTGTGGGACATTGCTGTGCGCAATTGGCTGCCGCGTTCGCCCTCAAATATACAGTCAATTCACTTTACAGTTTATTCTGTGAAGCGCTTTGGGACGTCCTCCCGACGTGAAAAGCGCTATATCAAATGCAAGGATTATTATTATTATTATTAAATGGGGAACATTATCTATAACAACATTTGATTATTAATTATCATTATTATCTGTTCAAAGTCTTACCCTAGTTACTATCCAGAACAATGCCTATCCCACCCCCACCCCGCCCCCGCCACACACACCTCAGCTCCACAGGCTGCCCATCTCCCAGTTCAGGCGACCAGCCAGCAGTGTGAGAGTTTTGAGACATCCTCCTGACATGAAAGGTGCTGTGCAACTGTAAATTGGTACCTGTGTGTTGGAGAATTCCTGAGCATGGGTCTTCGAATAAGGCACTGTTTTTGATTGTGCCCCTCAACAATTTAGTGAGTAACACTACTAAACATAGTGTGCAGGTAGTCTTGGATTTTTAAACAATTATTAACATGTCTTTTAGTGTGAGGTTTCCTGCCCTTGTTCCTATGCTGAATTATCTCATGTACGGTTCTTCTCCACCAATTTCGAGGTCTCTTTGAAATTCAATTCCTGCAGCTTTATTTTCAAGTCGCTGGCTCTACAGTGATTGATCTGGTCCAACTAGATCCCACCATCTGAGAACACAAGACGTGGGTCTAAGAGTGAGACACCTTAGAATGAAAGCATTTGTCATGGGACTGTTAAGAAACCACTGGAGGAGGTGGAACAGTTCTATATCGAACATGCAAAGAGCTTGTAGGATCTGAGCAATGTGGGAAAAATCACATAAATGCAGATCAGAGCAAAAGGCTGAGTGTCTCTGCTCCAGGTGACTGGTCTGCCTATCATCAGCAGCGCCCTGGCTGACTAGTGACTATCTTCCTTGGGGAGGCGGAGGTAAGTGGGGTCTCATTGGAGCTGAACTGGCTCCAAAGTGACATGTTTGGCAATGGAATGTCAGAATCAAGCCAGCACTGTGGCGGTCTCGGTAGTCCGGTTCCTGAGCCAGGCAGCTCCGCAGTCCTCCAGGGAACAGCAATTATGAGAAGGGAATGCAGTGTGTTTTTTAATATTAACGAAGAGCTGTCTACTTTTATTGGCTTATCATGGACAACAATTATATTCAGGGTGGTCCAGACTGCCTGGGAAATCATAAGACTCAAAAAAACAAATTATATGTCAAAGTTTGTGTTGCGATGAGAGAACTGACCTACGCATTAGCTTATCCATGCGTCAACATTTGTTGGAGATATATGTGTGTGTCTCTGCATTAGAAATAATGAGAATTTATTAAGGTGCGTGTGGATAAGAATTTCTTCCAGATCTAAAATAACCAAAACAGGCGGAACATTAATTATAAGTTATAAGCTAATCTAAAAGTAAACGTCTTAATTAATAATTTATGAATAGTCTTATCGGCATATTGTTCTAAATATTGATTTGATTAAGCATTCAAAGGGAAGATTAATGGAATACAAATACAGCGTGGAACATGGTGTTTTGAACTTTTGAAGTTGGGAAATAAAATGTTGGGAAGAAACGTTGAAACAATTCAGCTGGACGGTCTCAATGGATTTTTAGTTCTATATGTTTATTCAGTGTTGGGGCCGAAAGGGGAACAATGATACAAAATTTAATTGCGAAAGTCGTCTATGTTTACATGCACTACCATATAATTCTCTTTTCAAACAGGAGACACTCCACATCTGGCGCCTGAGCATGTGTTTGATGGAACAACCAGAAACGTTGGGAAAGCTGTCTTGGCTCTCTACAGTGGCCTCTTTGCATATGGTGGCTGGTGAGACAGATTATTGTTTGGAATAACTTATAGGAAATGTATCTATTACTCTAACTCTCATGCACGAGTGCCGTTTGCTGTCTCCCAGAGCTACTTTTGCAGTTCATTTCCCACTTGTGCTTCAATTCATGAAAAATACCTTCTACCTCCCCAACGAACAAGAGTGTTCTTCCTGTCCTCCTGCAATCTTCGGTTCGAACACCATTTGCTTTCTCTAGGTCCTGCGTGCGAGTAGTTGGTTTTGCTGCAATCCCACAGCTTTCAGGTGCATGAGCAGGAACGTGCGAGAACAGATAATAATAATAATAATAATCCTTGCATTTTGATATAGCGCTTTTCACATCGGGAGGATGTCCCAAAGCGCTTCACAGAGTAGACTGTAAATTGAATTGACTGTATATTTGTGGGGGAACGCGGCAGCCAATTGCGCACAGCAATGTCCCACAAACAGTCGTAGATTGAAAATGACCAATTTATTATTGTTTTTGGTTTTGGAGGGATTATTATTAGGCTCTGTGTGGAGTAAGGAAACTTGCCCAAGGTTTCGCCCTGACCTGCCTGGAATTGAACTCAGGTCTCTCGCTTGCAAAGCGAGTGGTCTAACCACTGAGCTACAGGACTCCACAAATCAGATGGTGATGACTTTCTGCTGCTCCTTTACCTTTGCAGCTGGTGACAATTTTTTTCTCTCCCTTACAAAGCTGTTGTAAAAACAATTCAGTGCCATCTTTCGCCCATTTGCTTTTTTTAAAAAAGAGTGTGCCAAATGGGAAGATGTTAAACCGAAGCCCAGTCTAGCCTATTCAGGTTGACGCCAAAGTTTCCATGGCATTCATTATTCAAAAAGAGAAGAGAGATTCTCCCAGTGTCCTGGCCAGCAATGCTCCAGATTAATTGACATTCACTTCATGTCTTTTTGTAGGACTTTGCTGTGCACAAAATAGCTGCTGTATTTTCCAACCAACAGTCACTACACTTGGCATCAATAGCCTGTGAAGGCTTTGAGATATTGTTGTGATGTGGTGAGCGTATATCAAGTGGAAGTATTTTTCTTATCCGGATTGTTTATTGCTTTGACCTGTGTACTCGGGTTTCACGTGACCTCAGTGGCTTGGCACATGCTGACGAGCAGAATATCCTCCTCACTGACTCGGTCATCAGCAAACTATAAGAATTTTGCAACCTAAAATTGAGACATTAATCCTCTTTTTTTTTCCCCTTGTTTTTTACTGGCAGAAAATGTCTGTTTCCCAACTCAATTAAAAATAAGCATAAGGGAGAATTTTTCCCCAGAATATACAGAGTACAGAATATACATTGTTCTAAATGGTCAGATTTCTGGTGCTTGCACAATATTTTTTTGATATATTGGAGACATTTTCTGGAGCACTGTTGGTTGTGCTGTATTTAAAAATGATCCTGGGGGTAATATAAAACAGGGGAATTTGAAAAATAATCATTTATTGGGGTTCGTTCTCCCTTTGAGCTGATTAACTTTTAACTATTTAAAAGTATTACTTTACTCAGTTTATATATACAATGCTCTACATTCTGCCTTTTCATTGATGTATATTCTCTCAATCATTGCAGGAATTACTTGAATTTTGTCACTGAGGAAATGATCGAACCATATAAGTGAGTACAGCGATATTTGTATATTTACTAAGGCTATCAATAAAAGACCATTAATAGAGGTTTTTACCCATTTTCACTGATAAATTCCGAGTTTAAAAAAATCACACACCAAGCACCACCCAATTTTTTCCTGTTTTTTTGGATAATTACTGTTCAATAATCTTAATAATAATCCCAGGATACAGAGACTAAATTCAGTCTCTCCCAAGCCTATCATGGGATAATTATTAAGGTTTCCAGTACATTTGTCAATGGGAGGATGGCAAAACAATAGCTTCTTCTCGGTAGGAATTGGAAGCAAGGATAGTGATAGGAATATATCTTTGATCTTCCGGTGCAGAGAGCAGCAAGTTTTAAATACTCGCTGAAGCTGGTTTGCACTGTGCTGCCCTTTTTAGGCTGGGTTTGTTACTCTGAGACAGCAGAGAGTTCCATCTTTGAGTGGAACCTCCTCTCTTTCCTCTTCCCTCACCCAATAAATCTGTGTCAAAGAAGCATAGTTCCTATTAGCTCGCGCTGCAATCTTTCCTCGATCTCTGCGGTTGGAATGTGTCCTCTTTGGTATGTCAGAGGCTGAAATTTGGGACACGATCTATTTTGATCTCTGACTAGAGACAGATGACACCGAGGCGGGTGGTGGGGGGGTGGGCGAGAGCGGGGGACGGGTGAACTTAACTAGATATATAGCTATGGCGTTTTCTCTTATTTGTTGGAGAAGTGCCCCAAAAAGGTTCTGTATCATGTTTTAGCACTAGATATGAATCCGGCACAGTGGTGATTAAATCTACATAGAAAGCTGCCCTTGACTCTGCCTTCTTTCAGCACGCATTTAAAGTGCTTGCAAGCTGTTTGAAAGCAGACTAGCAAATAACGGATTGCTTAAAGAAATTAAACAACTTGACACAATTTTAAAGACCTAAAGAAATCTCGTAGAAAAAAAAATTGTAATGTCTTATCATACGGTATACTTAACTATTTAATATTTTGTTTACTATTTAATAAGCTCCTCTCTCTCTCTCTCTCTCTCTCCATTCCCCTCCTTTCCCATTATTTGTCAGTTTATAAGCAGCTAAAAAAACATCCCCTCCCCCCACTGTGCTGGGGATTTCAGCTCCCAACCTTCCCACAGTGGACAAAATCAGAGCTCTTTTATCAGTTCGGCCACAGCCATTATTGGGGGGGAAACTAATTGCTATGAATGCTGCATTAAATTCACCTTTTTACCTGTTTAATATCAAGCTGAGGTTTCTGCTAACCTTTTTTAATCCAGCATATTGAACTGCTATCAGAATATATTCATGGAGGGAGTCTCTCCTGATGTCCTAGCCACAAATTCCTCCAGATAAATTATTTATTTACCTCATGGCTTCTTAGTGGGAACTTGCTGTACATAAAATGGATGTCAAGTTTGCCAACAAAAATACATTCATTACATTTGCCAGTAATTATTACTGTAATTGCTTTGAGAAATTTCAACATGATCAGAGGCTTTAAAAATCTAGGTTCTTTCTTTCTTTGGCAACGATGAGTGAAAAGCGTGTTTTCCCAGAAAAAATAGCTCAACAGCTCCACACCCTTCATAGCAACTACCAATGTAAGCAAGTGTCATTGCTTTATGCTTTAGAACAATATCTAATACTTCATTTACAACATTTGGCAATGGTGTGACAAGGTGAACAATAAGATATTGCCGCTTTCAAATTCAAAGCCTCAGTGTGCTTTTCTCTTCTCTTCCAGGGGCAGGAAAATTAAGGGTGGGAGTCGGGCTCCGCCTCTGTTTATCTCTCCGAGACACGAACAAGGGGTTTATATCAATACATATTGTTGTTATCCCACATTACTTTCCCCTTTTCCTCCCTTACTTCCTTCAAGGAACGCCTCAAGGCCCTCCTTGATCGTGTCTTCATCTGCCCTCCATCCTCCCTGATCCCAACACCCCTCCCCCACTCGGGTCCCAAACCCTGACTATTCAGCACTTTGGAACATGAAAGGCACTTTACAAATGTAATTTTGTATTGTATATTGTGATGTTGTTCTCGGCTCCAGGAGCTGTGATTAACTATACCAGTCAATCTGGTTTCTCGCTACTGGTAAAGACACTTACTTCCCTGCTTTTGTCCTCATCAGAATGTGGTTATTTAAAATGGTTTCTTGTAACTAATCTATATCTGATTAGCATGGTTTGGTTGGTTAGAATGTGTATTTGTATATATGTGAAGTTCTGTGAAAATCTAAAATTGCAAGTATATCCATGAGTGCAGGAAATCAGCTTTGTCTTTGTGGCTCATTTGGAATGAGGATGCAGTTCTAGTTTTAAGGGTGCAGTGTCCACACAGAGTATTTGTTTGGGCGCACAATGTTTAATGAGTGTGTATATATGATACTCATCAATGCAACTCCTGAATGTTTACACTTGTGAACTTTGGATAGCATAGTGCAATAATAACTTTACCAAAATACACAGTTTTAAGCCCCATGCTTAGTCCTGACCTGCAACATCTGTTGATAACAATCCCGGGATTGCTTTGCCTCCTGTCTCAATTTAAAAGGAAACTTGATGCATACATGAGGGAAAAGGGAATAGAAAGGGAGGGGGCAATAGTATGGGTGGAGGCTGGCAGCGAGAATAACCAAAGCACTTATTAGTTGGGCTGAACGACTTGTTTTGGTGCTGTGGATCTATGTAACACAAAAATTTAGAAATGCGATGTGAATGCTACTAAATATGAAAAGTTTGTTCCATGCTTTCCTTCAGTAACTTTCTTTCTTCTTCAGGAATCTACCTCGTGCTATCATCATCTCCTTGCCCATAGTGACCATTGTGTACGTGCTTACCAATCTGGCATATTTTACAACCTTGTCTCCAGAGACCATGCTCCAGTCTGAGGCTGTTGCTGTGGTAAGTGATTGAACATGTTTATTAAGCCACCTACTTCTTACTAACTATGCACAAATATGAGACAAAATAACACAATATTGACTGTAGCGGTGAAGTGACAGTACTTAATTTCTGTCCAACTTTTTTCATCCTATTTTCCTTGCTATATTTGCAGGATTTTGGTAACATCCATCTGGGAGTGATGGCCTGGATTATACCAGTGTTTGTAGGACTCTCGTGTTTTGGATCTGTCAATGGATCTCTGTTCACCTCATCCAGGTAAATTAAATGGTGGAATTTTATACTGAACTTGATGGCTAATGGAACTATTTATTTACTTAAAGCTTTTATTGACATAACTTGCTCGAAGATTAAAGATACATTTTAAAATAACACTGCATCAATAAGGGATTTATTGTCCTCCCGTTGGTCAGGCTATAGTATGTTACCTCGACCTGTAAAACCAGATTCTGAGAGGTGGCTGAGTTGTGTTTGATCCAAATACAGGGGTGGATGAACTGCTTTACCTGTCTTTATTAGGCCAAGCTCCAGAATCCAACTGGCAGACGTACAGCAGTGCAAATTCCAAAGAAAGGGATTACCCGCTGTGTAAATGAGCTTTTAAATACATGATGTATTTTAGCCTGTGAAACTGTTAGCACAAACTCATACTGCACTAAGTCCTTAGCGCATACAGATGGGTTTCATTAGGACTATTGAGATAATGCTGACCAAGTCAAGTTGAATCAAAAAGTGCTTCAGAAATTCAAGTGACTTCTTGCTTCATCATAGTATCCTGATGCCTGATGTTCTGAAGATTTATCAGACCTGATCAATACAAGTCGATTGGCTGTATCTACAGCAAATGCTTACGTGTCCTACATTTACTATGCAAATTTGTCTTCAGTGTTTGAAGTGCTTTGTTATTTGCAGGTTGTTCTTTGTTGGCTCACGAGAAGGTCACTTGCCTAGCCTCCTCTCTATGATACACCCGAAGCTCTATACACCGCTGCCATCATTAATATTTACTGTGAGTATCTCTGAATCCTAGTACCAAGTGGCAAACAATTGCTCATAATAAAAGCTTGGATTCCTAGAGCATCTTTTACATTAAAAAGTGCTGAAACGTTTAACAAAAATATAAATAATAATCCTTGCATTTGATATAGCGCCTTATTACATCTTTGAAACGTCTCACAGCGCTTCACAGAATATACTGTAAAGTGAATTGGCTGTTTTACAAAAATATAGTTGATTACAAATCAAATTGGGTGTTGCATAGGCAGTTGTTATAACGGATTCCAAAACCTAAACCTGTTCCAGTGGGTGGGTGTAGATGATGGACTGCTTCTCTTGCTTTTGGAACCTGTCGTATTTCCTTCAGACATGATAAGAACAAGGAGGTAAGTACAGGAAGTGTATTTGAACAGCATCGCCCGTAACCCTTACATTTTAACATCCAGATTCAGTTGCTGGCTGCCTTTCAGTTCATTGATTAAGATGGAAACCACTTATGCTGGCACTTGCCAAACATCCTGGAACTACTTGTTTCATGAGAAAGAAAGAGTATCTGTGTGATTTAACTTATCCTTGCATTTCCTTGCATTTGATATAGCGCCTTTCACTGTAGGATGTCTCAAAGGGCTTCACAAGATTTACTATTAAGTGGAGTGATTATGTGTAGGTGAATGCGGCAGCTAATTTGTGCAGAGCCATGTCCCTCAAACAGCCATGAAATGAATGACCAATCTGAGGTTTTGTTCATGATGAAAACAGTTGCCTGGATTGGTAAATGGTTTTGCTTGTATCTCGGGAAAGTGAACGCTCTGCATATCAACAATGGAAGAAACATAAGGTGTCAAAAGCAGATTCCTGAGATAAATAAAATTCAGATACAGTTTTTGGCAAAAAACAAGAGTTGTCTTATGACTGCGCTATCCAAGTGAAAAACAATAAGATCAAGTGAATCTGTCAGTAAGGCACAATATTCCCTAATCATATGTGCTTGAGTGAGGATAACAGCCTTAAGCGTGACAAACACGAGGTCAAAGGAAACTGCAGGTTCACATGGCAAATGAAAGGCTTGACTTTTCGAGCACTTTTCGTGAACCTGTAACCAAAGTATGCCCTCATTTTGGAATCTTCACCAATTGCAACTAATCAAATTTTAGAGAACGTTTCTGATCCATCAGAATCCACAACTGACTAAAAGTGTTAATTTACGCAGGATTATAATTGGTTTAATTATTGTGGATTTCTAGTCATGTTTGCAACTGCTCACTCGTTTCACACAGGACAATTACAGAGAGAGAGAAAAGAAAAAATGTCATCCCTCAGTCTGGGCTGATTCAAAGTTCACAGGGTTGAAGGGACTATGTTCCACATTGCTTATTAAAGTTCAGATCTATTGCTTAATTTGGCATTGGACCATCGATTACAATAACATCTGTTTTGGAAGAGGGACGATCTTTTTGTCCAGCAAATCTCTCTGGTTGAACGAGGTTCAGTACAAGAGTTGAGGGTATTTTGAATTGAAATTGTTATGTAATTGATTGGGAACCACACCAAACTTCCACAAGACCTGCATGTAATTGCTTGTGGTGTAACCACTGTTATACCTCCAACCCACAACCATTGCAAACTTGAGCTAACAGGGCCTGACATCAGCAAAAGACTTGGTTAGTTTCTGGAGCCATTCCAAGGAGACAAATTTAAAAATGTCCTGCCATTAAAATTGGATTTAGCAACCGAGCGGAGACAAGTCTCATTGCTCAGCTTGTGCAAGCTGGCTCTCAGTCATGTTGCTCCATTGACCTGAATCAATCAAATGTCAAAACGTCAATTGCTTCACCAACCAGAAGAATGAGTGGCCACAGCTGTTTGTGGGTCATTGCTGTGCAGGAACTGCCTGCCACCTTCACCTACAGTCACTGCACGTTACAGTGAAGTGCATTGAGACGACTCGACAGTGTGATAAGGCACTATATCAAATGCAAGGATTATTATCAAATGGAAGGATTTTTAATATCTCTTTATGTTAAGTAATATATACATATATATATAAAACATGGGAACTTTTTTCTTGTTATTTTATTTCTAAACACATTTTTTTTCTCTATTTTCCAGTGTTTGATGACTTTGCTATACGCATTTTCCAACGACATCTTCTCTGTCATCAATTTCTTCAGCTTCTTCAACTGGTTATGCATTGCGCTGGCAATTATTGGGATGATGTGGCTACGTTATAAGAAACCTGAGTTGAAACGACCCATCAAGGTAAGCAGACTGACACAATCCCAAGCTATTAATGCTTTTTAAAAAAAAGTCGTAGAATATTTTTAAAGTTCTTCAGAATCCAGCGTACTTGAATCAAAAGCAAATTGCACTGGTGAGGTGCGAAGCAATTTTATATTTACAAACTATTTTACATCTTTCTTTGTTTCATCTTCAAGGTCAACATCATACTTCCGATCAGCTTCGTTCTTGCCTGTGTCTTCTTGATTGTTGTATCCATATGGATGACGCCTGTGGAATGCATAATTGGATTTGCCATAATCCTCTCTGGAATTCCTGTCTATTACATTGGAGTCCGGTGGCAAAACAAACCCAAGTGTCTCTTGCAAATAATCTGTACGTATGACCACAAGAAGAATAGCTCATTTGTGAAAAAAAATCTAATTTAAAGTGAAAGATTAATTGCATGTCTCATCCTGTCTGACCTAGAACCTAGTCCTTATGATACTTTGGTTCAAAGTATGTCAGCGGGGTCTTTGTGTATTTCTATTGCATAAAGACTCAAATCAACAGGTTGCCAATGAGTAGTTTTGTCTGCTGTGAGGTGTGGGATTGAAGGAATGTTTCATTGCCTCCTGTGACACTGGCATTTAAAATATCAGGCTGATGGAATTTGTAGCCATACCAGCAACAGGTTTGTCTATAAAAACCACAACAACAAATTATATTTGCAAAGGGCCTTTCATGTCAGGAGGATGTCCCCAAGCCCTGGACAGTCAAGGATTTGTACCCGAGCTAGGGGTTGGGATCAGGAGAGGTATAGGAGGGTGACTGAAGAGGAGGATACGGGTCACTATTATTGACAGTAATTTCATGTAAAGCACTTTGAGAAGTTTCAACATGATAAATCCTTACACCAAATGCAAGGATTCTTATTATTTATTATAGATTACATGTTAACGTTTCATAATTTTATCAGGAAATAACTCATTTTTTTGTCTCCATTTTTCTTCTTGCAGTTTCTGTAACCGCCTTCTGCCAGAAAATCTTGGACGTGGTACCTCAGTCTTAATAACAAAAGTAAAGATCTTCATAGAAAAACGCACAAAGGTTCAATCAAAAGGAAGCACTGTTACACTGTCTGAAGTCAACGTTTCATACTTAAAAACATTTTTGTTCCAGTAAGGAAACAGATGGGTGGGAAAGCATCGGATAATTTCTTCAGTGGAAAAGGATTTTAATATTACAAAGCTGGTTCTGTGTGAAGAGCCAGCAGTTATTTTTTAGTCTGTGTGTATGTGCTTATGTGCATTTGAGATTGGTTGTGCTTTTTAAGGATAGAACCAGGATTTGCCACACAACTTTTTTTTAAATTGTAGATCAGAAAATTAAGATTCTGAATTATTCTCGTGCCTGATAGCCCTACCTGCTGAAAGATCCTGGGATGCAGATAAAACTGACATTTAACTGACATTATGTTATGGATATAGAGCCAGTGATAATACTTCTGTTACACTTCTTTCTCTTCAATAGTACACTGGAGGAAAATTTGGATTGGGGTCAGCTTTGCCAGAGAGGTGAAACAAGTACTGTGTGATCTCAGACCTTTGTTTTTCTGATAGAAGCCGGGTTCACAAAATCCCTGCAGTGTTCCCCCTCTGTCAATCTGCCCTGTAGTGTTTTTATTTTGGATTAATATTTCATAACTAAATATACGCTTTGCAGAAACATACCGCCCACATCCACTAATTTTATCCATTTATTTATTTTATTTATTTTTAAAATGCAATTTTCACATACCTTCATGAGCTTGCAATTTCTTTTTAAAAAGACTTTAAGAATTAAGGAATGGATATCACTTTGTGCAACCACCACCCCTGTCCATATCTCCAGCTCGCTACCTAACATGCTGTCTGGAAAATGTAGAGATGAGGTCTGTTAGCCTAGTGAGATGACAGGGAAGCTGTTCCACTCGGAATTCAAACAAATAATGAGATGTTGAGAAACAAAAATATAAAATAAGGTCTTTCAAACAAAACTAGAATATTGTTTTTTAACATAACAGCAGGATAAGAGGCCATTCAGTTCATTAACCATGAGCAATTTATGTTATGTCAATCTCCACCCAATTTACACCCATTGTCTTCTAAGTCGCAATTCACAACAAAATCCCACTTCCATATTTAAGATATGAAAGCTCCTGGAACAGCAACGCAATTAAACTGCAGTGTAATGCATTTCTCTTGAAAAACTGAAGTAGCCGTAGTTATAAGATGTTGTTATATTTATTGACATCTTGAAAATCGAGCTCTGCAGAATTGCAAAGAAAAGGAGAACTGCACTCATCTGTTCCAGTCATACTATTCATATTCATAAAGTGGCAACAGCAAATGCATTTATTGGGCCGAAATAGTGAAGAATTCCAATTGCTAAGTTTAAGGATCAGTTCTCCTTGAGGTAGGGTTTTTAATACAATTCTGTTACATGAATCCCAAATTATTAATTTGATGTCAATTTGGGCTTAAATAAGCTTTGAAAAATAGCTTTGAAAATCAGAAACTTTTTATTGAATAATTTGCGTAAAGTTGGGTGGCATTGTTCCATAATGTGATGCAAGATGACTTGGTCTCATGGTATTTTGGTAACTGTTTCCAATATCTTTTAATTCTGTGCTGTCATAAAGGGACCTAATATCTGATCGCATCTTATTCGTGCTTGTTCCTGTTGTCAATGGTGTATGCTTGTAATGTAAGACCAATTGCAGATGTTTAACAATAGGATGTATCAGTGGATATCCAGTCAATCATCAAATAGAACAGAACACATCTTTTGTACATGTGAATGTGAGTGTTTGTGTACAAACAGTAACAACTTTACACTGTTTGCAATTGTGAATTTGAATTGCCTCCATTATCTGATTTTGGCAACTTTTTCCTGGATGTAGGCAAGGGAGAGGGGGTTGACTACTACTTAAAGTTTCCACTCACTGCCCTCAATCACTTCCCCTGATCCTAGGTAAATTGCTGATAGTGTGAATTTGACCAAGTAAAAACTTGACAAATTCCATAAAACAGAAAGTAGGTTTCATAAAATACTTAAAACAATTAGGCATCCAGACATGTAAGGTGTATATTGGGAGGAAGGTGGGTAGAGAAATTACACGTGATGTTGCACTCGGAAAACTAAAATTCTGCCTTATGTGACGGACTGCATCCTGAGTCATAGCTCCAAAAGACACGTGGAACAATTGCAAATCTGTACTGGAAACTGTATCTCTTCTATTTGAGTGTTCCGTTAAATAGTATTGCAGTTGTATTAAAGGCTTATGGTCGTGCTTTCCCAGCTGTTCTATGTCGAAGTATTGGTAATTATAAAGGAGACTTCCTGTTGTTGTGCTCGGTCTTAACTGGGTTTGTGGTAATTTTGCTAAAGATTTAAATGTATGTATCGTTATCTTAATAACTTAGTGGAAAGTTTAGTCTTCCCCTAGTTATTCTTGTTTAAATATTAGTTTTTAATGAGATGATCAACAGTTTGTAAAGTAAACCTCCAGTTTACTCTGTGCATTGAAGTGCTTTATGACATTGGGTGACAGTTACAACGGACCATGTTTTGTTATCACCTAATTTGTGTTTGGTATCTCTTCAAGAAGAATTGGATGTTGTTCATCAATTTCTAAGTCATTTGTGCGAGTTTTAGTATGTAGCGTGATGTTCATTTATTTTTTTCTTTAAAAAAATGCTGCTTAGCATGTGATGACTACTGCTGATTGCTGGGATTTGCAAACCAAAACATGTTTTGTCAACCTATAATCTAATAGTAATCTATAGATACTTCACAGCACCCCTGCACAAGTTATTTTAGCTTCACATTATGTCTACTTTTTGGGATGGCTCGTGAAATGGAAATCATCTTAACATATACTGCTCTAATTAAAAACAAATACATGCCATTAATAGGCCACAGAAATCACTGGAGGCACTCCAGTCAAACTTAAACTAAAAAGAACGAAAACCTTTCTATACCCACAAGTTGCATCGAACAGAATTCATTTCAAGATCCGAGAGCAAACATAGTCTTGTGGAAGAATGCTGAGCCTGAATTGTTATGAGTGGAGTGGTTTCCTCACTCCCAGTTTGGCCAAGCAATTTGTGTTTCTGAACACAAGCACCATCTGGTGCATACAAAGATATTCATGTGGCAAAGTTTTTCTGTTGCATCAGCAGAAACAGGAGGAAGTATTGTGTTCTATCACATTTGTTTCTTTGGACTTACAAAACTACCGCTGTTTTTTTGTGTTATCAACAGAAAAAATTGTATGTTTTAGTATGTCCAGTTCCTTTAGAGAAAATAAGAAGGAAACACTGTGCTCATTTGTAAGGTGACACTTTTTTTATTGTTCTTCATTCGGTCACAGAAGTGCTCCTAAAAATGGTGAACACATACCGCTTGGCAGGAATCAAAATTCTTTTAAGTGGCTGACAAATAAAGACTTGCAGGTCTTTTTGCACCAGTAACTCGAATGAACAGTTAGTTTATTAAAATGCAGCACCATGTTTATACGGTCACAGTGCCCTTTGAGGTTTCCAGATCAGTGCAGCACATTGTCAAATCTGAACAAGTTTACCATTGACAGTACAGTGCAGACATTGTGAGAGAAGAACCTATTCCTCTAGACCTTTGAACATCAGTAGTTTACAGAATCTGTCTCGGGTAGATCCAGGGCGAAACCAGAAATGTGTTCTACCTATGAACGGTGGCATAAAGCATGAACAAGCACATAAATTACACGTGCAACCTGAAGGAACAAAAAAAATACTTGCAAGTTTGGCTTCATTCATAGAGCCTGGAGCAATAATGGTTCCTGTTGACTGAGTTGTTGAGTCACATTGACAAGCTGTTGGTGCCTGAAATTTTCCTCCACACTTGCCCTCCAAGACCATTTTGTTTTAATAAAGTTTAAGATTGTGCAGGAGAATTGTGGACAATTCTTAATTTTTAATTAACAATTCTTAATCCTTTAAAAAGAACCGACTTCCATATGAAAACTGAATTGAAATATTTTAAATTAGGATTGAATTTTAAGAATTTTCCACAATTCTGCAGAATTTCACATTTTACAGCAAAGTGGCCTGTCTTACAGGCTAAGACTTTGGGTGGAATTCAGGCCTCTGTCAAAGACTGCTGAGCAAGATTGGTGATATGTTTTAATCAACGGGTTCAATGGGCAAGCAAGTCCGAAAGATAATAAGTTTTTTAAAAAAAGGCATTGTAACATGATTAAGAAACACTAATTAAAGATTTTTTATTTCAAAGATAGTGATCTTTCACCATTTTTAGTGAAAAATGTTTTGATAGAGTTTGAGAAACTAACTTAGTATTTCTTATCATCTACATTGATTTATTTTTGTGCACTATTTAGTTCAAGATGTTTTTCCCTTTCTTTAGTCTCTTTTATGTTGTAAAATTGCGTGTTTTTTTCTTATGTTTTTGAAAAGTTTATGTAATCTGACCTGTGTTTAAAATGCTGTGCTGCCACCGTTAATACATGTGTTGTAAATAATTATGAGTTAAGTATTCTAACACCATAGTGTTTAATGGCATGTAGTGATATACTTTTTACACAATGCATGCTGCATACACTATTATTACCGTGTAATACCCCCAAAATTTGGGGATTAAGCTGCTCCTTTTGCACTTATTTTACAGGGTTTAATTGAAAGGGTTGCTAAAATGTATCTCTCTCTCCCCCCCCCCCCCCCAAAAAAAAAAAAATCTCTGATGGGTATTGAGTAGATTCTCCAAATCCATAAAAATAACTCTTTCCAGTGCCCCATGGATCTGAAGAAACTGGATGTGCAAAGGTGATAAATTGGATGGGAATAGAGAAATTATAACTCAATTTTATTGTACCCCTTTTTGTATTTTCTGGACCTTGCAAAGCACCTTTGTTATGGCACATATTAAGATACCTTTCTTACTCCCCCCTCCCCCCCCCCATCTTTTTTCTTAATGTACTTTTTCAGTGAATTAACCACCTCAATACTGCAGTGTTTCACATCTTTCATTAATCTCTCCCTTTTGGAAGAAAAGCGTTTTATTATTGATTATTTCCAAAGGTCTGTTAATATGTAACTGAGTCGTTGTCGAATTATAAAACAATGCTTCTGTGTTTTCTGATGACTTCAAACACCTTTGATTTGATTCGGTTTGATTTTAGTTATTTCACCACTGTTCTGAAAATCACTATTTCAGAAGAAAACTTCAATTCTGCCTGTGTCGTACTCCAATGTTTTGTCAAACTACTATAAAAATAACTCCCGAGTTCTAGAGAATGCTTTTTAAAAATATATGTATATGGTTGACCTGCTTTCTTCTATGTAGATTTTTATTTCCTGTGTTTTAAAAAAAAGTTCAATAAAACTACTGATAGGATTTCTGTATTTTTCGACTTATTCTTGCACCTTATGTATCGCTCAACAGCTACTTCCATTTATATAGTGACCTTCACACTGGTAGTGTCTCGAAGTGCCGTGTACCTGTATTGTTCCGTCTTTAGTGTGATTTGAAGGAAGGTTAAAGTTTTGCTTTCCCAGTTTTACAGTCTCATTTTCAGTGCCATGGCAATAAAAGAGCATTAAAGAAATAGCAAAAAAGCAAAGAAATGCTTCCAGTTTGACTCCCACTGTAAGGTGGTGTAAATGTCCGTGAATAGATTAAATTACTAGTTCGGAACGTGGAATACATTAACACCAACAGGGTGTAACATTGGAAGTAATGTGCCAATGGACTCTGTTAACCCTTCAAATCAACAAAGAATTGCAATTTACATCGAAGGAGCATTTTAAAATACTGTGCTATGGGTAGTGGTACATCCACAGACATGACATTAAAGTATTGTACCATGGACAGCGTACTGCACACAAAGAGGTGGCTAAGTGCAAGACATCTCATTCTACGACTGAAGGTTTGTTGCAGATAGAGTTGGTAGGTTTGGTATGCGCTGCTAATGTAGAATCTGGGTACATGTGGAAATGGTTGTTTGACTCCTACAACAATACTGATGCATCCACATACACTTGACTAGATAATGGCAAAAATCAGTTGCAAATTTGCCCGGCTCTTTCCCTGACTTGGATCCACCGGGCTGATAAACAAAGACAAGACTAATTATTGGGCGTCTTTTTTGACCTCAATGCATGAGCAAAAAAGCTGGGTTATTGTGTTAAAACCCTGGCCCATGCCTTTGTCACCTCTCAGCTGGATTACTCTAATATCCTCCTCGCGGGTCTCCCATCCACTACCAGCCATGAAATCCAAATCATTCAAAACTCTGCCGCCCGCATTCTCACCCACACGAAACTCCGCTCTTCGATCACCCCAGTCCTGGCCAGACTGCACTGGCTGCCTGTCCCAGAGAGGATCGATTTCAAGATCCTCACCCTTGTATTCAAGTCCCTGCACTCCTCTGCACCCCCCGACCTCTCTGACCTCTCTCCTCAAAACAGTACCCGTTGCCTTTCGTTTCGACTGCGCATTTGGTCACCTTCCCTCCCGCCTCCCCCCGGCTCGGTCCCGGGATCCATTGTTGTGAAGCGCTCTGAGACGTCGTCCGGTGTGGAGGACGCTATATAAATCCAAGTTGTTGTTGTTAATTAACAGCCACTTAATTTTGAAAAGGTGTACCACTCTCTGATTTTGCTGGCTTGTGTATACCATGTACCAACTGGATTTGTTCTATCTTTGGCACTTGTCACTCTTTAAAGGAGTTTTATGTGTCTTCTGATACCGTAACGTTCCCTGTAATGGTGTAATCCTGCCAGCTTTCCAGGTGTGGTTTAACGAGAAGGGCAGCAATACTACACAGGTACCAAGCCAATTGATTCTGCTTCAAACACGGATACTGAAAAACTCTTCTTGTAGAAGGCTGAAAGAAATGAAATGTTCCTTTTTTTAATAACTATTTATTCTTCGAAACCACTAGATAAGAACATTTAAAGTTTATCTTAAAGGGCGTGTGTCATCATCAAGGATTTGAACCCACACTGCTCTCAGTTTGAAAATGGCAGTATTGAATGCTCACTCCTCCACTAAGGTGCATAGGTGACTGCAGAAAGAGGAAAACATTATGTAATGGTAACAATCCTTGCATTTGATTAAGCACCTTATGTCTTTAAGACGTCCCAAAGCGCCTCATAGAATCCACTGTAAAATGAATTAATTATATTTTGTGGGAGAAACGTGGCAGCCAATTGCGCACAGCAGTGACCCACAAACAGTCGTGGGTTGAGTGACCATATTTTTTTTTAAGGGATTATAAACCCCAGAAAAGCGATCCGTCAATCGACTAACAACCAGGTTCCAACTTACTGCTACGGAAAACTGAGATGTGTGGAGTTAGAAAACTTTCCCCTGCCCAGGGATTGAACCGGGGTCCTCTTGCTCGCGAGGTGAGTGCTCGAACCAACGTGCTGCAAGACGCAGAAAAAAGATAAGTGACATTCATAAATGTTACTGCTTACCTCAGTCCTGGTACATTGAGCAGGAATTATGACGGCAAAGCTCTGTGTTTCCTTATCTATTAATATTTTCATCAAATGTATTTCCTGCTTCAAAAGTAATTTCCTCTCCATCGATTGAAGTCTGTATCAGTTAGTTTTTGTGAAATTAAAGTCAGACTGCCTTCATAACAATGTTACAAACTCATTGAAGTGAGCCTGGAAGGGGTTGACATTTAATGTTTTCATTGCTTGGGAGTTTAAATACTCAATAAATTAATTTGGGACACAAGCTGTTTTCGTTCAGTGCTATTTTCCCTCTAATTATACCTCTGTCACTCATCTTCCTACAGCTCTATTGCAGCAGTCTACAGATTCCATGTTGGAGAGAAAGGGACAAAGAACCTATTTGTCTCAATGTCAATGAACTCAAGTTCACCTATTTCAGACAGAATATGCTTTTCCAGCATTATCCTGCAGCTAGGAACGTATATTATAGCAACTTTTGAAATTCACTCTAAATTCCCTCATTCTTATTATTTCTTAAATATTTCTCCAGGGTAATCCACATGAAGAGGTCAGTGAAGGAATAAATATTTCCACCGCTTTGTATTATACAAATCGTTCGAAAACTGCAGAGACAAGCATATTTATTTATTGTTTGTCGCACTTTGTCGTATGGCTTTGTCGTACTTAACTTTGATAACATGTTATGTTACATGTGGTTCATTATCATTTGTCTTCATAGTTTAAAAAAAGAATAATAATAATAATACTTGCATTTGATAAAGCATCTTATCAAGTTGTTGAGATAACTCAAAGCGAGTCACAGACTATATTGTAAAGTGAATTTTAAAGTGTTTATTTTTGGGTGAAACGCAGAAGCCAATTGCACACAGTGTCACAACTCAATCCCACAGCCATGGATCCCTTTCGCCCACAAACATACAGTCAATTTACTTTACAGTCTACTCTGTGAAGTGCTTTGAGACGTCTAGAAGACATGAAAAGCGCTATATCAAATGCAAGGATTATTAAGTGACCAAATTATTATTAATAGATTCCTCTTACAGCTCAGTTGGGTTATTCAGTGATTTAAGCTGTAATGGTCGTAACGGATCCAGGGTTGATCCTTGGTGTGTTAAAATTCGTCTGAGCTGCACTAAGCCAAAGCAAAGTATGAAGTGTCACAATTGGCATCAGCACCCTGGGTTTAGTGAGTAGAAAATTCTCAAAAGTGTCACCAGAGGTCACGCAACATGGGCAGCACGAGTTGCAGATCAGTGTACATCAACAAATACATGTTACTCAGAAAAAAATGCGTAGTACCGTTATAAATAATGTGACTATCCAAAATATATAGAAACTAAAAAATGTGAAACTAAAAAAAAATTAATGAACTAACCATTTTAAAGTGTCAGCTGTCTAAATATATCTGGGTTCAAATGGGTGGGTAAATTAGTCTGAGCCGTTAGGGGATGACATTTTTTTTTAAGATTGCAATCCTTGCTTAACCATATGATTAAGAAGGTTTGGCGTATGGAGCACAATCTTGCCTTAACAAGCTACACTGTGTTGTCCAAATCAGCTGACTCTAATACTCCTTCTAATACCGCTCTGTGTCGCCCACTTATGTATGAAAAGGCTAAGTGATTCTAATTAGACTACACGTTACAACCAGAATATAGGAAGATGAAAGAAAAGGGTCAGGGAATGCCAAGGCAATAATTTTAAGGCACTGCAGGTGGGAGGTGCTCATGACTGGAACGGCTACTGCAGGAGTCAGCATGCTCTGAGTTCTAACCCGCTGAATGTTTCACGGCATTGCTCTAGCATACCCTGCTCTAAAACATGGTTAGATTTCGTCATTTTCTTAGTGCACAACAGATGCATCTTTCACGTTTCTTGCTTCCACTTTGCCCTAATTGTGATCTGTGATGTTGTGGGAGTTTTTTTTTGTTCAAAATCCTTGCCCTCTTCAGAAGATGCAGCGTTATGAAACTCTGCGCATTTAAGATCAGTGTGAGACTGTCTCTCCAATTCACCTTGGGTGATTAGGTGAAAGCTCTTCCCAGTAATCAGTCTTAAGGGCAGTTATTATGCCTATCCCTGGCTGCCACATAATCTTGTTGCAGAACACCGCCATAATCCCGTGATCATATATTTTGCCCACAAAATATACATCAATTCACTTTACAGTATATTTATTCTATGAAACACTTTGAGGCGTCTCGAAGACATGATAAAGCGCTATATCAAATGCAAGGAATACTATTTATTATTTAGAATCAAAAAATCTGCCATATGCTGTGCAGCAAATGTAAAGTATTTAGACTTCATTCTAGAACTGTTGCAATCTGTTGTTTGTATTTTTGGAAACTTCAGACATTATTTTAAACATATTCAAGGTGTGCTATTCTCTTTAGACAACTCTCACGCTTAGACTTTGGCTTTGGCTCTTCCGTCTTGATTCCTGCTTCTTACCAAAGTCCTACTGACCTTTGGGGTCTGTTATTTCTATTGTTGCTGTAAATATTTTTTTGCAGTTTCCATCTTTTACTAACATTTGTCACCGGGTCTCAGTTTCTCCTCCTTCCTTGGGCACTGGTGGTTCATAGCTCCAAGTTGGCTCCAGCAAGAAGCTGGATCAGGTAATGCAACAGATCTATAAAGCTATACAGTCTTCACACTTCCCAGTTTGATAACAGCAGAATAGGTCTGCTTCACTGTCAACTTCTCGCTGGAGTTTCTTCCTATTCATTTCAATTAGGCACAGGCCTGAATTATTAGTGAACCCTTGAATTGTTTTCACCGGTTGTTCACATCTCTGTGATAGTTGCAACCTTGCCTTCAGTGGGGCACAATTCCAACTACGAGTTCAAACTAAAGAGACTGGGTGGAACCAATTGTTAACTTAAAGCTAGAAATAAAACCATC